TGTTTGACCTTCAATTGATTCAAAAAGCTTTTTTGAATGTGTTTGATTTCATTTAATTTAAAAAGCTTTGTTTGAATGTGTTTGACATTCATTTGATTCAATTAGTTTTGTTGAATGCATTTAACTTTCATTCAATTTAAAAAGCTTTTTTAGAATGTGTTCTTTTTCATTTGATTCGTAAAGCTTTATCTGAATGTGTTTGACTTTCCTTTAATGTAAAAAGATTTTTTTAAATGTGTTTGACTTTCATTTTATTTAATTAGCTTCGTTGAATGCATTTGACTTTTATTCCATTTAAAAAGCTTTATTTGAATCTTTTTTAATTTCATTTGATTTAAAAAGATTTTTTTGAATGTGTTTAACTTTCATTTAATTTTAAAAGCATTGTTTGAATGTTTTTGACCTTTTTTTGATTCAATAAGCTTTCTTTTAATGTGTTTAATTTTCATTTGATTCAAAAAGAGTTGTTTGATTGTGTTTGACTTTCATTCGAATGCATTTGACTTTCATTCGATTCAAAAATCTTTATTTGAATAAGTTTGACTTTCATTTGAATCAAATAACTTTGTTTGAATGTGTTTGACATTGTTTTGATTTAATTAGCTTCTTTAAAGCATTTGACTTTCATTTTATTCAAAAAGCTTTGTGTGAAAGTTTTTTACTTTCATTTGTGTCAAAAACCTTTGTTTGAATGTATTTGACTTTCATATGATTCAAAAAGCTTTGTTTTAATGTGTTTTACTTTCTTTTTATTCAATTAGATTCGTTGAATGCATTTGACTTTTATTCGATTCAAAAAGCTTTGTTTGAATGTGTTTGACTTTCATTTGATTGAAAAAGCTCTGTTTTAATATCTTTAACTTTTATTTGATTCTGTTAGCGTTTTTTTTTTTTTTTGGTAAATAAGATTTTATTACCATAGAGAGAAAGTTACAGCTTACAAGAGCCAAGTTATAACTACCACCAGAACACCACAAGACCTGTATAACAGGCAAACCCCCCAAAACCAGTTCTAGATCCTACCTAGCCACCTTCTAGGAAGGGTTCTAGGAAGGGCCTAGAATAAACTGGACTCAGATTTCCAGCCACCTTCTAGGAAGGGTTCTGGAAACCAGGACCAGACAACAACAAAAGCAACAAACTACAAGGCAAACAACTAAAAAACCACCAAAACAACAAAAGCCTAAAAAAACAAAGGATTTCTATTAAAGACAAGGCATCTACAAGCAAACTGCAAGCTTGAAACCTCTGCCAAACCCAGAACAGCAGCACCTAGCAAGCACCAGACCAGCTTCCACCAAGAGCAAGCAAACAGCAACAAGAACAGAACCAAAAACTGCACCACCTGCCAAACAGCAGCAACCAAACCAAACAGCAGCCTAGCAGAAACTAGAACAACAACTGCAAACAACTGCAATAGCAACACAACCAGCACAGCACTGCAGCAGCATACAGAAACAACACACAGAACAAAACAGCAGCACCTGCAGAAAACAACAGCAGCAACTGCACAGAACAGACAGCAACAGCATGCGGCAGCAACAGAGACACAACAGCTAAAGCAGACAACAGCAGCAGCAAGCAGCTGCATAGAACAAAAATAGCAACAAGAAGAAGCAGCAACAGAGACACAGCAGCTGAAGCAGACAACAGCAGCAGCAAGCAGCTGCACAGAACAGAAACAGCAACATCAAGCAGCAGCAACACACATAACAGCAACATGATAGATAATGTCACGAAAGACAGTATCTGCAGGTTTACAGTCACCCGTAAACATCAAACTATTCCTCTGCAGCCATATACTGTAGATAGCCTCAGCAAAACACATAGAGTAAACTCTACCCTTGCTGCTAGACTTCCTGCAATTCTTAACTATCCATTGTTGTTCAATGCGAAAAGGTTGAACTGCTTTTTTCACATCAAGAAGTTTCAAAATCTGTTCCCAAATATTCTTAGAGTAAGGGCAGCAAAAGAATAGGTGAGAGACAGATTCACAAGTGTTCTAGCAGAAAAAGCAAATAGGATCACAACTTGTATTCCACTTAACAATTCTATCCTTAGTGGCAAGTTTATCAAGCAAAGCTAACCAAGTAATGAAAATTCTATTAGGAGCGGCTTGGTTATTGCAAACAATTCTTTTCCACTCTACTTTAGGAGCCTGAGGTCGGATCCGAACATAGAGTTTAGCAATACTCATTTTCCCATTTTTCACAATAGAGGACCAGCCACCAATATCATCAATAATATCTCTGCAAGTCAAGATTTTCTTCAAAACCCATGAGCATTTCTTAGGAATAGTGGCAATCCAAATATTCCTATTGTTGAAATAATAGGTATGCACCCATTTCACCCACATATTGTCAGATTTGTGAGCAAGATCCCACAAAATCTTGCAAATAGCAGCTTTATTCCAATCACCAAGAGAGGTAATACTCCAGCCATCACAAACCTTAGGAAGAGTCATATAATGCCAGGAGACAGGGGCCTTTTTTGCATAAGTGTTCTTCCCAGTCCACAAGCAAACCCTGAACTTGGCTTCAATTTCCCTAAGAATCTTCTTAGGAAGGAGGAAAAACTGAGCCCAATAAGCATGAATACCAAAAAGAACACTTTTGATAATCTGTAACCTGCCAGCATAAGACAAGTGTCTAGAAGTCCAAAAATCAATCCTAGCAGTAACCCTTTCAACCAAAGGCCTACACTGAGCAATAGTAAGCTTTTTAGAAGAAAAGGGAACCCCAAGATATCTAAAAGGCAAACTACCTCTACTCATACCAAGAACAGTTTGCAGCTGATCTTTATCAGAATCAGAGATACCTGCAAAATAAACCTCACTCTTACTTAAATTAGCCACTAGACCAGAAGCACAAGAGAATTTCCGGAAATCCTGTAAGAGAAGCTGAATAGAGGTGGAATCAGCCCTAGAAAAGAGGAGAAGATCATCAGCAAACATCATATGGGTAATACCTAACTTCTCACATCTAGGATGAAAATTGAAATTAGGATTCCCAGTCATTTCCTTAAGGCACCTAGAGAGGTACTCCATACAAAGAGCAAAAAGAAAAGGAGACATAGGATCTCCTTGCCTAAGGCCTTTTTTTGCAGAAAAAGGTTTAGCAGGAAAGCCATTAACCATCACAGAGTAAGAGACAAAGCAGACACAAGTCATAATCCATTTCACAACAGAATGAGGGAAACCAAGCTCTTCTAGAACAGTCTGCAGAAAAGGCCATTCAAAAGAGTCATAGGCCTTTCTCAAGTCAATCTTGATCATACATCTGGGAGAAACAAACTTATGAGAGTAGCCTTTCATCAATTCAGTAGCCAGGAGAATATTGTCACCAATGTGCTTACCCGGGATACACCCAGCTTGAGCATCATCAATAACAGTCCCCACCACTTTAGCAATCCTGTTTGTGAGAACTTTGGAGATCAGCTTGTACAACATGGTATAACAAGCGATAGGCCTAAACTCTCTGACATAAGAAGGATGCTGAACCTTAGGCACTAAGGTGATTGTTGTACAATTCCACTGCTTAGCAATGACACCAGCCTCAAAGAAAGAGAAGATAGCAGTATAAATATCAGTTTTGATCATAGGCCAAGCCTTTTTGAAGAAAACAACATTAAAGCCATCAATTCCAGGCGCCTTATCATCACCAATCTAAGCTAGAGTACTATCAATCTCAGAAGTAGTAACCATAGAAGTCAAAATATCAATAGAACTACAGCTGAGTTGAGAACCTCTCCTAATACTGTTTAAATCAACAGCAGGGAGAGAGCTAGCACTACAACCAAGGAGCCCTTTATAGAATCCCACAATCTCATTTTCAATAAGATCAGGATCTTTCAAAAGAACATCATCTTCAGTAAAGATAGAATCAATTCTATTTCTACCTTATCTGTGCTTCACAACAAAAAAGAAGTACTGAGAATTGGAATCCCTAAACTTAATCCAATCAACCTTGGATTTCTGCTTATAAATGAACTCTTGGATATTCATCCAGTGCTTCAATATAGAAACAGCTTCAGCCTCTTTAACATGAAGGTCAGAATTAGAATAATCTACAGCAAGCTGGTCCTGAATGGCTTTCAAAGAGGCAAGAGCCACATCCACTTTCTCATCAACATTAGCAAAATACTTAGTGTTCAGATCTTTCAGATTCTTTTTGACAGATTTCAGATTCTGCCAAATAGTAACTATAGTCGAACAACCTGTAACACTATGCCAGCTTTTTCCCACAATGGAACAGAAATCAGCATGATCAGCCAAGCAATTAAGAAACCTAAAAGGTCTCCCCTTAGTAGCAGCAAACCTACTTACTTCAACCAAGAGAGGGTGGTAAGAAAGGAGAGGAGGAAGATAGATAGATTCAACATGGGGAAACTTGCTCAACCAAGCCTGATTCACAAGCCCCCTATCAATCCTTGTAGCAATTCTACCATCACCATGACCCGTATTAGACCAAGAGTAAAAAGAACCTTTACTCTTAAGCTCACAAAGATCAAGGTTATCAACAAAACTTCTAAAATGATTGACCTCATAATCAGTGACAGCATTACCATTAACTCTATCATAAGAATTGAAAACAGAATTAAAGTCACCAATAACAAGCCAAGGCCCAGAAACAGCTCCAATACTAGAAATACCATCCCAAAGAGGTAACCTATCATGAATAGAGTGTAAGCCATACACAAAGGTACAAAATATCTGATGATGAAGATCATTGGAGCTAATCTGGACATGAATGAACTGCTCATGAGAGAAAATGACTGAAAGATTAACCTTGTCATGAGACCAGCCAACCCAGAGTCTACCCCTATGACAAGATGAGTAGTTTTAAAACCAAGACCAAGAAGATTCAAATTTCTTCTGAAGCTTAACACTCTTATCACACTTTACTTTAGTTTCCATAATACCAACAACATCCACACGTTGTTCAGCTAGCAGTTTCTTAGGAGAAACTACTTTGCAGGGGTCTAAATCCATGATAGGACAATCATAATCCAAGAGGGGGATTACCATCACCCCCGATAGGAACAAGTTCTCTAGCACCATTTCCATCCTTAAGCAAGGCAGCATAAGTGTTAGAATGAGGAATATTAGTAAAGACAGGAGGATTACTATGACTTCTTTGCTTCCTTCCCACCACTCTCCAATCATCATCAGAAGTAGCTTGCACAGTAGTTGGAGCAGGAGTGAACACACCAGCATTATGCATAGAACCATTACCCCCAGACTCAGGCACACTAGACCCAGGTGCAGGAACAGTAGAAGGTTGGGGCTTAACAACCCACACCTTTTGCTTAGGCTACTCCTTAGAAGACACCTGCCTCTTTTGAGGCTGCACCTTCCTAGCACAATCATGGCCTACTTTGTTACATTTGCTACAAAAGGGGGGTGCCCACTCAAAAACAACTTTTTGTTCAATCAAAGCATCAAACTAGATATTCTTGGGTAAAGTCTTAGTGACATCAACTTCAATGAGCAACCTAGCAAATGAGACCCTCAAATGCTTTGAAGTACACTCATCAGCACATAAAGGAACCCCTAAGACACTTCCCAATCTGCTCAGGGTGTCCACACCCCAACAATTCAAAGGTAAGTTAGGTAATTTCACCCATATAGGAACAGTTCTCAAAATCTCAGCATGAAAGTCAAATTTCTTAGACCAAGGCTTAACAATAGCTGCCTTACCAAAGAACATGTGTGGACTAGCATTAAGAACAACATTCATATCATCAAAGTTTTGGAATTTAATCAGAAAGTATCTATTATCATGCCAAAAAACATCAGGTTTAGCTACAACATTCCAATTTTCAGCAATGTATCTATGGACAACAGCTATAGTAGGATAATAGCCTATGACATAGAAAATTACAGAATTCTTCCACTTAAGATTACCTTCGGTAATTTCGGCTTGTTGTAACATTGCAATAGATTTGCCATCTTTCACCATAGGAGCTACAAAAGAAAGGGTCGAACCCTTAGCAGTGAGCTTAGCAACGCTTGCCTTAGGAGCAGGAATATTTGGCTAAGGAGGGACCACATCATCCCCCAAAGAAACCGGGTCAGCACTTGGAGCATAACCAATCCCAAAAATCAATGGAATAGTAGCAGGAGCTGCTGTCTCGGGAATTCGCGGCACTGAACCGAAATTAAGGCCAGGATTACCTTCAGCCACCATAGTATCACCTATTGAAGAACAACCTGCATTCAGTTCAGATGAAGAAGCTCGAAGATCCAATGAAACAGTGGATCTGGGCACTGTTTTATTATCCTTAATCAGACGCGTATGAAAGTCCTCAAGAGCTTTCAGCTCAGCTCTAGTAATCTTATCAGTTGAGCGACTCAAATGAGAAGGAGCAGTAACCAGCTCATCAGGATCCTCATCAATCTCTAGAATCGAAGAAGAACCCGCAAGCTTGGACACATTCAACCTATTAACACCATCATTAAATAGAGATTTAAAAGCATGATTCAAGTTGTTTAAGGGTTGAGGAGTAGATTGCTTCTTCTTTCGAGCCATTGGAACCGATTAAGCTAAAGAAAACCAGAAAAATCAGATCACCATGGAAGGAGAGAGAAGGGAGAAAAGTCAACGCAAGTCAACTCCCTTATTCATGATATCCTATGCACTTAACTTTAAAATTCAAAAATATTTTGATGTATTCAATGTGTTTGACTTTCCTTTGATTCAAAATGATTTATTTGAATTTGTTTGATTTCATTTGATTCAAAATGCTTAGTTTTAATCTGTTTGACTTTCATTTGATTCAATTACCATCGTTGAATGCATATGACTTTCATTCGATTCAAAAAGCTTTACTTGAATGCATTTGACTTTCATTCGATTCAAAAAACTTTGTATGATTGTGTTTGACTTTCATTTAATTCAAAAAACTGTATTTGAATGTGTTTGACTTTCCTTTAATTTAAAAAGATTTTTTTGAATGTGTTTGACTTTAATTTGATTTAATTAGTTTCGTTTAATTCATTTGACTTTCATTCGATTCGAAAAGATTTGTTTGAATGTGTTTGAATTTCATTTGAATCAAAAAGCGGTTTTTGAATGTGTTTGACTTTCTTTTGTTTCAAAAAGCTTTGTTTTAATGTGTATGACTTTCATTTGTTTTAAAAATCTTTGTTTCAATGTGTTTGATTTTAATGTGATTCAAAAAGCTATGTTTGAATGTGTTTGATATTCATTCGATTCAAAATATTATGTTTGAATGTGTTCGACCTTCATTTGATTCAATTTGCTTTGTTTGAATGTGTTTGACTTTCATTCGATTGAAAAACCTTTTATTGAATGTGTTTGACTTTAATCTGATTCAAAAAGCTTTGTTTGAATGTGTTTAACTTTCATTTGATTCAATTAGCTTTGTTTTAATGTGTTTGAATTTCCTTTGATTCAAAAACATTTATTTGAATGTGGTTGATTTCATTTGTTTCAAAAAGTTTTCTTTGAATGTGTTTAACTTTCATTTAATTCAAAAGGCTTTGTTTGAATGTGTTTGACTTTCATTTAATTCAATTAACTTCGTTGAAGGCTTTCGACTTTCATTCGATTTAAAAAGCTTTATTTGAATGTGTTTTACTTTCATTTTATTAAAAAGATTTGTTTGAATGTGTATTACTTTCATTTGATTCAATTAGCTTCGTTGAATGCATTTAACATTCATTTGGTTCAAAAAGCTTTGTTTGAATTTCATTTGATTCGAAGAGCTTTTGTTTAAATGTATTTTACTTTCATTTGATTCAAAAAGTTTTGTTTGAATGTGTTTGATATTCATTCGATTCAAAAAGCTTATTTTGAAAATGTTTGACCTTCATTTGACTCGGTTAGCTTTGTCTGAATGAATTTGACTTTCATTCGATTCAAAAAGCTTTATTTGAATTCATTTGACTTTCATTCGATTCAAAAAGTTTTGTTTGAATCTGTTTGACCTTCATTTGATTCAATTAGCTTTGTTTGAATGTGTTTGACTTTAATTCAATTCAAAAACCTTTGTTTGAATGTTTTTTACTTTCATTTTATTCAAAAAGCTTTGTTTGAATGTGTTTAATTTTCGTTTGATTCAATTAGCTTTGTTTCAATGTGTTTGAGTTTCATTTGATTCAAAATGCTTTGTGTGAATGTGTTTGCCTTTCATTTGATTCAAAAAGCTTTGTTTGAATGTGTTTGACTTTCATTGGATTTTAAAAGCTTTGTTTGAATATGTTTGACCTTTTTGTTTTGGAAAATAAAAATAAAAATTTTATTACCAAAAGGAAATAAGAACAATACAACTTACAAAGGCTAAGCTGCATCCCTAAACTACACAAGCTTTTAAACATAGACACACAAAATCCCAAACAGTTCCTGGAATCTATGATGCCACCTTCTAAGAAGGGTTCTCCATAGAACTGGGAACAAAACCTATTCCCAACTCTAGCCACCTTCCAGAAAGGGTGCATTGAAAAGAAAACCTGAGAACAAAACAAAATTCCAAGCCTAGACTCAACTGCAAACCAGCAGCAGGACTAGACAACAAAGGCAACACAACAAACCCTAAATCAGAAAAAACAAAAGTACAGATAAAGCAAGTTTCTATCAGCTTCAAAATTTCTACAAGCCACTACAAAAATTATGTCTCTAATAGAAACATTAGAAGACTTATAGTTTCCCATGAACATCAGAGTGTTCCTTTGAATCCAGGTATAGTGCACATCTTTAGCAAAACACATAGCCAGCAATCTGCCCTGAGCACTAGATCTCCTGCTTTGCTGCAAAACCGACTCAACCTCAATCTGAAAACTCTGAGCTAACCTACAATAACCAAGTAACAACAGCAGTCCGTTCCAAATTTTAGCAGAATAATTGCATTCAAAGAACTAATGAGCAACAGTCTCATCACAATTGGAGCAGAAAAAGCAAGAAGGGTCACAAGATATGCTCCAAGCAATAATTCTATCTTTAGTCACCAATCTATTCCACAAAGCTAACCAAGTAACAAATAAGCTCTTAGGGGAAGCCTTATTGTTACAGATTAATCTCTTCCAAGTGACTTTCTCACCCTGGGGCCTAATTTGACCATAGGACTTTCTGATGCTCATTCTACCATTATGAGTAACCCTTGACCAGCCACCAATGCTATCAACAAGAGCCCTACAGCTCATAATTTTCTTTAGAACCCAGGAACAATTCTTAGGGATAGGAGCAGACCAAAAATCTTTACCTTTGAAATAATGGGTATGAATCCACCTAACCAAAATCAGCTTTATGAGAGATATCCCAAAGGACCATAGAGACATCAGCTTTATTCTAATCCTCAAGAGAGGTCAAATTCCAACCACAACAAACTTTAGGTAAACACATAAATTTCCAAGAAACAAGAGCTTTCTTGCTAAGATTACCTTTACCAGTCCAAAGAAAGCACCTACAACTAGAATAAATTTCTCTTAAGATCTTTTTGGGTGAAATAAAAATACCGAACATAAGAAATAAAAAGGCTTAAATACCAAACAACACACTCTTGAATAACTAAAGCCTTCCAGCATAAGAAAGATGTCTAGTAGCAAAACTGTCAATTCTAGCAGTCACTCTCTCAACTCTAAAGGCTTACACTAGGAAATAGTAAGCTTTTTAGAAGAAAGAGGCCCACCAAGATATCTAAAGGGTAAAGAGCCTTTATACACTCCAAAAACACTAATCAAAGCATCTTGATCATAATCACTTATACCTCCAAAGTAGATATCACTCTTCTCCAAATTAGCAGCCAAACCAGAAGCACAAGAAAACTTCTGAAAAGCATTCATAACTAATTGAATAGACACAAGATCAGCTCAGGAAAATAGAAGAAAATCATCAACAAACATCATATGAATGATACCTAACTTCTCACACCTAGGATGGAAATTGAAATCAGAGTTCAGGGTGATCTCATATAAACATCTAGAGAGATATTCCTTGCAAATTGCAAAGAGGAAGGGGGACATAGGATCACCCTGCCTTAGACCTTTCTTAGTAGGGAAAGGAATAGAGGGATAACCATTGACAAGAACATAATATGAAAATGAAGTAACACAAGCCATAATCCAAGAAATGAACTGATTAGGGAAACCTAATTCTTTCAAAACAGTATCAAGAAAGCTCCACTTAACTGAGTCATAAGCTTTCCTAAGATCAATTTTTAGCATGAATCTAGGAGTCACATGATTGGGAGTATAACCCTTAATCAACTCATTAGCCAAAAGAATGATGTCACCAATGTGCTTACCAGGGATAAAACCTGCTTGAGCCTCATTAATGACAGAACCCACCACCTGAGAGAGCCTAGAAGTGAGAATCTTAGAAATCAATTTGTAAACAAGAGTACAACAAGCAATGGGTCTGAACTCCTTTACATAAGAAGGATTATTCACTTTGGGAACCAGAGTAATACTAGTACAGTTCCACTACTTTGCCAGCTTCCCCTGGGTAAAGAAATCAAGAACAGCTGCATAGACATCAAACTTGATAATATTCCAAGAATGATTACAAAAGACAACATTAAAGCCATCAATACCAGGGGCTTTATCATAATTGCCAATACAAGCCAAAGCCTGATCAATCTTAGAATGAGTAATATCAGCAATAAGCAGGTCTCTAGCATAAGAATCAATCTGTTTCCCTGGTCTCATAGTAACCAAGTGACAGGCTCAAGTTGTATCACCTAATCAAAAGTATTTCCTAAAACCACTAACTAATAATAGATAGGGAAGTAGGGTCGAATCCACAGGGAAACGAGTCTTTTTATTCCTAATTAATTAATATAATCTAAATTATCAAGTAACAAATATGTAAATTTGGATATAAAACTAAACTACGAAGATTAAGAATAAGGAGAAAACAATGAATAAAAAGTCTAGGGCATAGGTTCATCAATAAATAATATTCCACGGTAAAACATAATAATCAATCATCAATGCATACATTAATCAGATCATAAAGGGCTTTCGCTACGTATTATGATGAGTGACATTTATGTCACTCTTAGGAAGTATTTTTAGAGTCATTTTCGTGTTTATTTTACCTTATTTTCCCTTTTATTCTCTTGTTTTCTTTTTAATAAAGTTTCTAGTTTATTTCTTAGTTTTAGTATGTTTTAATTTAATTTATTTATTTAATTGGTTTCTAGTTTATTTTCGTAGTTTATTTGCTTTCGATTTATTTTTATTTCGTTCCTTTTCTTTGTTACTTTCATAGTTTTAAATAGCTTTATGTTTATTTTGTTATTTTATTTTGCTTTCTTTGCTTGTATAGTTTTTGTTTAAATATTATTAGTTTATTTTTATGTCTCTTATTTTCTATTTTATTTTATTTATTTCCTTTTTATTTATTTTATTTTATTTATCTCGGTTTCACACTTTTACCCTCGGGTTTGTTTGTGTGTAGGCTCGAGTTCAAGGTCCAAGTCGAGGCTTTTCAATTGCCACCCAACATCAAGCCCCTGCTGCCTCCTATCCGTCACCCCTCCTCCGTATCCACCACCAGCCGCACCACAATTCTCAATCACCAACCGTCACCAACCACATCACCAATTTACAGCAACAAATCAGCCACCAATTGCAACCCCTCATCCCATGCTTTGCATCTCACCAAAGCAACCCCAATTTACGAATTATCATGGTTCGGGCAAACCATTGAGGAGTTCGATCGAAATGAAAAAAGAGTCAGAAACATTGGAAGTTTTCTAAATTGAAGAGGTGTGGTCGAACTCACCCATGGTTCGACCGAACCAACCCCGTAGTTCGGCCACACCAACCCATGGTTCGACCGAACCATTCCACGAGCGGTAGTGATTTGATGATGATGGTTGTTAGTTTGCTTTGGTGAGATGCAAAGCATGGGAATAAAACCCCATTTTAGAGCAGCTTAATTCGAAAGAAGAAGAGGAAGGAGGGGTCTGATGTTTTTGTAGGGGATTTGTGGGTTTATTTTATTTCCTTTTTCTTTTTCTTTTATTTTTAATTTCTTTCTTTTCTTTTCCCTTTTTCTTATTTCTTTCTTTTATTTTTATATTTAGTTTCTTATTTTATTTTTTCCTTTTTAATTTATTTTCTTTTCTATTATTTACTTAGTATTCTTAGCTTTGTATACATACTCAATTTTAGGGTAATTAGAAAGGGAAGAAAAACAATTACCATTTATTCTACTCTCTAATTAGTTTTAGGAGAGCTTCTCTCTCTAGGTTTAGGGTAGGATTAGGATAGTTTAGAGAGAGAAAGTAAGGGTTTCACCATTATTGAGCTTGGATATTGAAGAGGAAGATTGATCATCTTGCTTGTAGATTTTCACATTCAATCAATGAGAATCTCTAACTCTCTCTCCTCTATTTTTATTTTCTTTATTTTGATTATTATTTTAGTTGTTGGTATTGCTTGTTAATCATGTTTATTCTTGATTATTTGTTAACTAATCTTGTTATTAGCATGATTAGTGAGTAATTTCCCCATTAAGTGGATGGTTGTGGTGTAGTTGGATCTTGAGCGTGTTATAGGGTTTAGAATTGATTTATTTGTGATTAAAGTCTTTATTTGCTTGATATTCTTTAATCTTCTTGCAAGTGCACATTGTTGGTTGATTAAAGGTAAATCTTTTCTAACAAAAAACGAAAGTTGACTTAGTTAAGGTTTATTACTATCGATTGATATTTAATAGTACCTCCTAGTATATGGTTCTAATGTGGAAACATAGAGGCTATGTTAGGAGAAGCCAATTGACCCCGGAAGGCGGCTAGATTGGATCCTTTACTTCGATATTCATGCATGTTTAGTTCATAATTAATTCAATTTCTATGCCTTTGTTTATGTTCAAGTGAATGTTATACCTAAACCATTTCCCTTAATGTTTTATTTCTTGTTTTAGCATCTTTAGACTTTAGTTTATTTATCTCTTATTTCGGACTAGCTTAATTGCCAATAATATTTGGTGGTGTTTATCCGTTCTCTGTGGTTCGACCCCTATGCTTGTCTTATACTCGTATTAGGTTTGTTTAGGTTGTATAAATTGTATTTGATCTAGGGATAGACAATTGACGATGCGTTTATTCCCTTGTCATATTACAATCACACAATTAATTTACCGGTATTAAATCTCATCTCTCGAATCTCAACTTAACCATTTATAAATTAACCTGCCTATTGAAACTAAACCCAAACATCAATTCTCATCTTTCGATTCTCGAATAAATATTGTCAAACTCATGCATAAAAGATCTGCGCAAATCTAGTCACAGAGCATTAAATAAATCAATAGGAAATTAATCTAGCATTGACAATTAACAACAATAAATTACCCCTTCATATTAGTTATGGATCCCCACAAACCCTAGAAATAAAACTACTCACACATAATTAAATCTAAGCAAATCAAAGTAATAAAGAAAGACATGATCAAAGGAATAAAATAAATAACTAACATTAAGAGAAGAGAAATTGTTACCAAAGAAATCTGGAATTAAGAATAAAGTTAAGAACAAAGTATATGAGAGAGAAACTAATCTAAAAGCTAAGTAGAGAGAGAAAATCTAAGAAAGAGTGAAAAGAAGGTCCTAAACTTGCTTAACGGAAAAGTATTTATACTAAGCAAGAATCCTAAACTAAAACAAACTTAATCGTCAAAAATTAACTCCTTAAAATAACATGCGACCGATCGGGCTAAAGCCGCCCGATCGAGCGCGCCATTTTCTCCGCGTACTCTTCTAAACAGTCGCGCCCGATCGGGCCCTTGCTTCACCTCGAGGCTTGGAACTTCGATTGGCTTTATTTCTTCAGCCCAATCCGGATATCCACTTAGGGTCTTGATTATTCGGTCCAAATACCTCGGTATCCCGATTACGGAGCCCTTAATCACCGGTTCGATGGCTCTAACCGGCTCTAGGCTATAGAAACTGGTTGTGCTTCTCTAGTGCTCGTAATCGCTCCATAATATCTCGGGAAAATGCTTTAAAAGCGCAAGTCCCTGCAAAAGTCAACCAAATCTACGAAAACACTATAAAACACCAAATTATTAATAAAAGTGACTCTAAAGAGCCAAAAACACTACTAATTATGACCAAGGGACGGGGGTAAAACACTATATAAATCGGACATATCAAACTCCCTGAAGTCAAACCTTTGCCTGTCCCTAAGAAAAGATCTCATCAGTGAATAAATAAATATGCTTCACCCCAAAATGTAAAAATCAAGCACAAACAATTCAAGGTAAATCCAATAAACATGCTTCAAAGCCAACCAATCAAATCCATCAAATTACCCTTCTTCCCTAACAATTGTCGAATAGAGAAAACCACAAGAGAATATAGAATTCAAGACTAGTTCTCACACACTCAACTCTCATTTATGTGCGAGTAAAAGATGTGCTCGATTGCTTTCCAACCAACCCCTTTATTGTGACAATGCCCTCCCAACTCACACTCTCGTGTGTATAAAAAGATGTACGCTCAACCTACTAGTCGACTCGAAATATGTCAAATCATAACTTGCATTGATAAACAACACTTTCACATTCATACAACTCTTATGCACAAAGGTCGGAAGGTCTTTAAAGCTTGTAATGTAAGGCTAGGATAAAGGGTAGGAAATATTTAGGAAAATGTGAGAGTAAAGCCGTGCTTAAGGGAGCCATATCCTAATAAAACCCAAGGTCACAATAAGTGATGACCAAAACACCTCCAATCACAACTCAACTCCACAAAAGTTCACCTAACAGTCATATACACAACATAATCCCAACACTTACATATTCACTCCCAAAATATGATTATAGGAAATAGAGTGAATTAAAACAAACTTTTAAGTACTTTTTTTTTTCAAACTTTAACTCTTTTTTTTTTCTCTTTTGAATTTTTCATTTTTTTTTCTTGTTGAGCAACCCTCAAATAGAACATTTAAACATATGAAAAAACTTTTTTTCCTTGCTCTTTTTTTTTTTCTTTTAGATTCATATTGGAAATTTTCAACTTTTAGAAAAAATGTTATTTGTGACTGGCAAAATTGACTTTTTGTAACTGGCATTGTTGGTTGCGAATGCCACCGTTACAACTAGTGAAAATTATTCGTAACTAGCTAATGTTAGTTACTAATAATGTACTATTTGTAACTGGCTTTACCCAACGCCAGTTACAAATAGACAATTTTCCAAGTTAGAAAGCACACTATTTGTAACTGGCGTTAAGTTATGCCGGTTACAAATGAAGTAATATTTGTAACAAGCATAGCCTAACACCAGTTACGAATAGTGTTTTTATTTAAAAAAAATAAATAAAATGGTAGCGGTAGAAAATTCCCTCTACTGCCACCACCCGTACACTACTTTTTTTTTCAATATAAAGACCATTAATTATTAATAAACTTTCATAAACTATAATAACTATTAATTTAACCAATATAAGATAAATAAACTTTATACAACATCATGTAAATTATATTGAATTGATGTACTTGTAAATTACAAATATTTCTCACACAACTCACAATAAATAATACTCTTTAACTAAAAATTAAAAAAAGCTAGTTAGTTAATTGTTACAATGTTTAACCTTCAAATTTTGATGATTTTGTCAATTTTGTCTCTGTCTGCTTCACAAATTTGAAAGTTCTATATGGGATATCAGCAATTCACACTGAGCACTTGATATTGTGCCAGAATTCTGCATGGGGAAGAAATATATACATTAAAAAAGCCAAAACTAAAAAAGGGTTGTTTTAGACAATCACTACATGAACTCTTCCAATTACATGGGCAATGCATCAAATTGAGGGGATATAAAAGAAAATAAGCATCAAAACTCACAAGAAAAACTTCAGTCACTTATTAGACAAAACTAGTCACAAATAAATTCAATACAGAAATCAAAACAAGTAATTCCGCTAAAACTTTGCCATGACTAAACTAGCTATCACATACATATAATTGTATCAGACTAAACTGTCACATAAATATAATTGCTTTTATAGTTAAAGGGAGAGCAATAAAACAAACCCCACATACAAAATACAACAAAAACATAGGGTAGGAGATGCTTGGTGCGTTAACTGGCTAGCTCAATTTTCAGCAAGCACAATCTATTACATACACAAGCTAGGAGATACCTGAAGTAGCTCAAATTTGAATTTTCTGAACTAGAGACCAAACCATAACATACACAAGATAGCAGGTGCCTATTATCACAACCTATCACATACACAAGTTAGAAGTTGCTTGAAATACAGGGAGACATACACTTAGGAAAGTCATTCTTTGCAAAATTATTTAATTACCTTGATGAATCTAAGTGCCAAAACTAGCTCAAAACTCTGTTGACCTTTGCTTGAGTGAACTCCAACCTGAAATGTGACCACAAGGGACGAAGCCAGGAATTAAGACTCAAGGGGGGCCGAGGTTTATATTAAACAAAATAGTACGGTAATCGTATTGTATCTCCTAATTTTTTTTCACATCAAAAAATTTACTTAAGACTGTTATAAATTAGCTTTGACCATAATTTTTGACTAATATATAAAATTGAATTTTTATAGAAGAATTTACTACGCTAGGAATTTCATGATTGTCAATAATGTAGCTTATATACCGTTAATATGTTTAAAAAAAGAAAAAAGGATAACGCTTGTATGCCAGGAATCAAATCCTTTTATCAGCCTCAAAGCATCTTAGTATAGATACATCAAAAACTAAAATATGGCTTCAGGCACTATAAATTTAAGCGACAATAAATTGAGGTGTATGTGGAAGTAATGGAACACTAAAGAGGAAAGGGAACAAGATAAAGACTTATATTATATGTCAAATTCCAGTAATGTTCAGACAGAAATAAGAAAGATTATTAGCTACGAGATATGTACAATCCATGAGTAAGAATTAGATATAGAACTTCCATTTAATTACACGAAGACCCATTTACCAAAAGTGGGTAGTAATATAAACATCAGATTTCAACCATGAGTCTGACCACCACAAGCTAGATGCATCTGATATCAGTTTGGATATGTGCTTGAACATTGTATGTAATAAAATTAATAGAATAAAAACCTTACTCCTTGAAGATACAAGTGAATCTGACAACATACAGGCCAACCAAAATGACGTGTACCAAGAAAGCAAAGACATCAAACCTAGCTTCCGATCTATCAAAAAAAATTTCCTCCACGATATATAATTTCTCAAGAAAGTTTACATAAGTTTGTTTCTATAGCCTCTTCACCATGTTTTAAACACAAAATATGTCCACAAATCAGAGAAAAAAATCCACAAAAAGTGTAGTAGTAGCAAGGATGCAATTTATATGAGTAAAACACTCTTAAAACAACCTAAACCACATAGGAATATCCCAGCAAAAATCTCAACACATCTCTAAGAAAAACGCACTAAAACAGAAGCATATACCAGTTGAACCAAAACTGACCAGTTTTCAGAAAACAACCCAGTTTAATAGCAAACAAACTCAATAAATTCTGAAATTTTACATGCAATAAGTAGACAAAAAATCACCCAAATTCAAAAAACGAATCACCTAAAAATCATCTGTAATGAAGGAGAACGAGCCCAGAGAAGTCAGACCTCTAAACTATTCCAGCGAGATTCTACCAATTTGCAAAAGGGTAGAAAAATAATTTTTACGCACTAGAATAAACCTATTGAATCAGTCATAGATTGGCTTTTCTACTTGAAACAGGAACAAGAATATTGTTGGTCTAGCATAAGTTCATAACTAAAACAAAATATAAACAGAACATGAGCAGTTTATTAAACCCCATTACTATAATCAAAAGTTTGTTCGTTGTAGGGAATAATTTTCAAGCTTTAATTCCCTAGCTTGAACCCCACTGTGATCATACACTAAAGTACGGTGGCGTCCGAAAGGGAAGAAGATAGAGCAAAAGAGTCGCCAACAAGTTTTAGGAACTTGTAAACCATTCACGAGGTGAAGGTTACACCCCTTAATGATCCAAGAGATCATCAACTCCATAAGGTCTAGAACCAAATAAGGGTTCGGGGATGAAGGTACAAATCCAACCTAAAAGAGATTGAACCTGCCCTAATAATAGGCCTCTACTTTATTCTGATCGTACTCATGTGCGCTTTTTAATTAACATGCAATCAATAGATTAACCCTAAACCTGTTTATCTATGTTGGTTGAATATTATTGCACAAATATATCTATTATTGGCGATCACTTGAAATTATAATCACATTAACCCTAAACAAGATTATTAATTATCTTATTAAGCGTGATTACAAGTACAAATTCCCTTTAAGCATGCATAAAAGGTGTGATCAAGCAATAAAAATAAATAATCAAGCAACATAAATTATCATAACAATCATGACAATAAAATAATAATCATCATCAAAATAATAATAATCATAAAAATAATAATCATAATATCATCATAAATAAAATAATCATCATCAAAATAATAATAATAATAATAATAATAATAATAATAATAATAATATTCATAATCATCATAAATTATAATCATTATATTCACAATCATGTTCATGTTAATATTAAAGCATAATAATAGTAAGATCCTAGGCATGATACTAACAAGATTAATAACAAACCCTAGCATGTCACTAAGCAATAAAAATCAAATCTTTAGCCCTAACATGATACTATCAATCATAAAAATTAGGAAGAACATAGGAAGCATCGTAACAATCATACTTAATATTAAAATTACCCTAGACATGATACTAGGAATATCATAACAATTTAAACATGATTTCTACATCATAATATCAATAAAAACCATTAAAGCACTTAGTTTGATGCCTAGTATCTCTTTTTAATAACAAAATACACACTTAGTAACTTCAAGGAAAATAATAATCAAAACAATCAAATCAAATAATTGAAATAGAGATTTGGGACCAAACCCTCAGAAATTAAACCTTTCACGTCTAGGGCAAAGGTAACTTCGAATATGGCTAGGTGTTTCTAAATCTTGTGAATGCGGAATTTTGTATATGAAAACAAAGTTAAGAAAAAGAGAAAGAGAGAGAGATGAATAAATCAAGAGAGAATTAGAGAATTAAAGCTGATTGTTGATGAGAATTCGTGAGAATTGGTGAATGAAAACGGAATTTTTAATACGTAATTTATAGAGAAAATCAGCCAAAAAGATAAAATTAACAAAATAGAGTCTGGCGCACGCAAAACAAGATCGGCGCCAGCCATTGGCCATTGGCGCCAGGCGCCAATGCTTGCGCCAGGCGCCAACCTTGTTTTTGACGCGATTTCTAAAATCAGATAAATTTTGCCATACAGGAGGATAAAGTCGTATCTTTCCTCAAAAATGTTCTTTGATTTAATTAAAACTCTGAAAAGTCAACAAAAGTCAATTTATCAATGCTAATTGAATTAGGAATGAAAAGAACCTTCTAGAAGAATCTAGAAGGTTAAAACCATTCCTAATTGCATTAGGAATGATAAATCATATTAGGCCCTCCTCAAGATCATTGGGCCCTGTTTAGTAAATTTGTCATAACTTCCTTAATATTCGTCGGAATTGGGCTTATAATATATCATTGGAAAGCTCTTGTCAAGCCCCATCCAACTACAATACTATTGGACCCATATCATGGACCAACCAAACTGGATTGGCTGTTTTCTTAAAATAAGTTTTCAAAAACAGAGAGAAGAGAAAAGAAATTAAAACTATCCGGAACACTAGACTTTCCACACTTTCACTTCATTCGATTATGATTCGACGTGAAAGGTACTCATCACCGGGTTTGGTTCTGGGGAGACACAAATGGGTGTCTACATTCCTGTTTATTAATTTTGTTTCCCTTAAATTATTGATAATTAAATTGTAAACATTCTCATAGAAGAATTAAAATCAAACAGACAATAAATCATAATAAAAAAAATTTCCCAGAATTGAAGATCCATACCAAATGTTCAACTATACACCGATTTAGGAATTTTAAGCTCCGATTTCTTTCTCTTGCGCTTGAAACTCTCGCCACCCAACTTTTCAAATCTGATGTTCTTCAATCTATCCCAATTTACTATGGAACCCGAAAATTTCAACTAAAAAGTGATAAAACCACAAAACTTCCATTAAATTAAATTATTAACAAACAAAAGCATAAACCCTAGTCTAAGATTAATCAAAAACCGGTTAAAATTAATCAAAAATAAATATATTAGTCTAAGATCGAGACATACCGTAATGATATTGATGAATGAATTTTGGAGAAGCTTTAATGGAGTTTTTGTGGAGTTTTTACTTTGGAGCAGTTTCAACTTTCAGAGGAGAGAGAAAATTTGTGAGCCTTGTGAAAAATGGAGACCGATTTGTAACTATGAGGGAAAGAGGGTCTATGACTAATTTCTTCTAAAAACAATAAAATTAAAAAGTGAAATGAGAGTCATGGGTGTTAGGTAGCATTAGTAACCAACTTTAATAAAGCCCCTTACAAATTAACAAGGTCAATAAAGTTGACCTATAGTTTGTAACTGACTTTTTATATGCCCATTACTAATAGTAGGTCAGCCTATCTTTGACCTATTATTTTGTCACTGACATTGCTAATGTCGGTTACTAATATTAAATTATTTGTAACTTGCATTATCTATGTTAGTTACTTATACTCTTGTAGTAACTAACATAATGTATGCCAGTTACTAATAGGGTGTTACAAATAGCATTTTTTCTACTAGTGAATTTGAAACATAAAACATCAATATTTTCCAATCAAATATAAAAGAACAAACACTCTTCTTTTATCCCCACATTGTGGAAATGATATGCACACCACAACTCCCTCACCTCACCAACTAATAGCTCCCCCAGGCCAAGCTTGGGACTAGTAACCAATGGGGCTCATATAGGCTTGTAATGTGGCTAAATAAACAATAAAAGGGCATAAGCAACAACATGGGTAACAAGAAGGGAACAAATGTATCTAATATCGTCTGAAGGCTACCTAAGAGAACAAATGCCTTCGTCCTCCTCAGTGTGCATAATATTGAGTCATATAAACATTACTAATAGTTGCAAACCAATACTCAAATTCCTTGACATACAAGGAACTATTACACATTCCTAACCAAATCCACTAGTCAAGCACTATATTCACAAATAGTTGGGCAAAATTGACTCATGTTAAGGAATATAAGCAATCAAACTTCAAATCATGATCAACTAATCCACAATATTTATCATCATAAACCAAGAATCAAAACAATTTTCTCAAGTAAGGGGCACAAGGAAGCATGATTTATAATTCATTGGAACGTATTTTTAGAATTTTTTTATTTTTCAATTTTTTTTTGTATTTTTAATATAGGAAAGCAATAAAGAACTACACTAGAAAGCAAATAAAACTATACTAGAAAGCAAATAAATAGAGAAAAGGAAGAGAAGTACCCAAAACAAGATCATCCCCCCAAGCCAAATCAAGCAATTCCCTCATTGACTTGGGATTGTAGCTAGAGTAACTACTCCTCATCTTCATCCATCCTCGAATAGCCTCCCCCATGGCTAGAACTGGCTCCTCCATAACCCGATCCACCTGCAAAATAGTTAGGGTCTACATTCCCCCCAAACCCACCAAAAGAAGCATCGGTCCCATAACTGTGGACCGAAGAGTAGTCCACATAGGTACCAAAGGCACTTGGGGTCCGAATATCCTCCTTGAGGATATTAAAACCAATCGGGAACAAATAAGTCGGGGGGAATATCCCCCCGATGTGCGTAGTCATCATACATGGGATATAAACCCATCCCAAGGTTTCTCTCCACATACCCCACCCTCCTATCTAGAGACCCTACTCTCGTATCTAAATCTCGCACCATACTCTCCACTCTCCCTTGACCCATCTCAATCCTATCTAATTGGCTCCTAAAAGCCGAGAAGTCATAAGGGGCGTTTAGGTTGGTGTTATAGTTCATGGAAGAAGTGGGGATGTCATATGTGTAGGGATGGAGTGGTGGTTGAGGGTTAAATTGAGGTTGTGGTGAAGGTGGTGCTTGGTGAGCCGCTTGAGCCTCACCTTGGTTACCTAAAACAAAGGTGTAAGAAGGTTGACCCTTCTCAAACATAGTCAAAATGGGGTTAGTCAATGTAAAGGCATTGTCCCTTCTACCCAACTCCCTTTGGATTACCCACCAAGTTTCACCCCCTATGACATTGATCTTGTTGAGGCTACCTAAGTAGGGTAAGTCCATAAGAGTTGGTCCTACTACCTTCCTAAAGTCGTTAGGAACAAAGTTAAGGTGCTTGACCGCTATGTGGGTGACTAAACTGCAATAATATATAAGGGCCCTAGACCTACCACTCTCGGCCGCGTTGGCCGCCCGTTGGAATTGTTGGGCTATCCTATGAGGTATGTTTAGTTTTTCACTCCTAGGGATCATGTAAGACCCTAACAACTCTAGTTCATCCCTCCTTACATTGGCAGGTTCATGCATCTCAAAGATAGTGAGGCCAACAAACCGTTGCCAAAATTTTGGCACGGGATGTTGTATCCAAGTGCCCTTGGCATGTATGAGGTTTAGATTAGCATCCCCCGTGAGGGATTGATAGACAACGGCAATGTTGTCTTAGGACGGTTCAATAGGCCTATCCGATTTCAACTCAAATAATTTACCAAACTCTTTCAAAGTCAATCTCACATCATTATTAAGAAAACGGAATTGGACATGAGTAATCAAAGAATTAGATTTTATCACATTAAAACTAGAAATAAATTCCAAAGTTAGATAGTCATAAGTATCATAATGCAATTGAAATAAACCACTAATTCCAATACCCTTAACCAGTTTTTCTACCGGTTTATCGATTCCTAATCTAGAAAGTGTAGAATGATGAACAAAGCGTGTAGGAATCACCTGCCTCGAGATGAGGTTGAGCATCCTTTGCCGTTGTTCTTGTGAGGTTATCACCACCTCGCTCCATCCCGGGATTTGCAGCTCCGGGTCAACCAATGGTGGTTGTTGTTGCCTTGAGCTTTCACCCCTTACGGTTCTAGATCTTTTGGAGGCCATTTTTTTCTGAGAAATGGTGGAATTTGAAGCTTTCTCTCTCTTAGGGTTTTGGGAAAATTTGAGAGAAAGTGGTAGAAATTTAGTGTAGATCGAAGGGAAAGATGAGAGGATTAAGAATGTGTAAAAAAAATTGAGTTTGGATGGAAGAATTAGAGAAGATCTTGAAGTAGAGTTTGAAGGTATGAAAATGGGGGTTTTAGAGAGAGAAAGTGATGAAGAAGATGAAATAAGGAGAAAGTGAGAAAAGAAGAGGAAGAAAATAAAGTAATAGTTCGGCCAAAAAGTGGCGCGCCCGATCGAGCGAAAATAGTTTGTTCTGAAAGTTTAAATGCGCGCCCGATCCGGCAAGCTCCGCCCGACATATCTTTTTTCCTGACTCGATTTTTCAAAAATTTTGCCCGATCGGGAAAAAATAGCTTGATTTCCAACCTCACTTGCGCGCCCGATCGGGCAAAGCTTGCCTGATCGGGCAAAAATGAAGCTGGAATTTTCTTTACTTGCGCGCCCGATCGGGTCCGTGCCCAAATCGGAGCTCTTTTTTATTTTCAACTTCTTTTCTTAAATCTTCGTACCTGTCAAATCTATACCTGTACAAAAACACTTACAAAAGGTAAAATTGCACTCTCCTCTCCTCTCCTCTCTAAAAAATAAAAAAAAATAAAAATAAAAATAAAGTAAAATAAAAGAAAAACTAGTCTAGAAAGCAAGAAATATGCGTTGCCTCCCGCAAAGCGCTGGTTTATCTAGGTCCCGCGTGACCTTCTTACCAAGTACAAGAACTAGGACCTTTGACTTAACGCTTGGTCGGGTGGTTTCTCACCTGGTCGAGCGATGTTTAGGCTACGACGCGGCTTCCTAACATACCCTGTGGGACGCCAATTCACCTTGATTGGTGGATCCTCCTTGACTTGGATTGGGGGCTCTTCAATGTTACACACTAAGGATCCCTCTTCGGTCGAAGGTTGCTTCAAATTTTCATTGCATTTAGCACTTGCAACTCAATTTGGCGGAACACTCACCGCAGGCTAAATTTCCATAACTTGCTCGATTGATTCCACCTTTTCATCCTCAAAGCCAAGAACGACAGTGTAAAGGGCTCTTTCTATTGCATCAACTTCCTTCTGCCATTTGTCTATCTCATCTGTAAAGGATGCAACACAAGATACCGCATCCAAGGGATCTTTTACAAGAGCTTGGGGCTTGTTAGAATAATTATGAACCACATTAACACTAAAGCATTTCTCCTCTGTCATGGGGCATTTAGGGGTATTATTAAGATTAAAAATAATTTTTTCGTCCCCTATTGATAGTGTTAATTTGCCACTTCTCACATCTATAACTGCTCCTGTAGTGTTAAGTAATTGTCTACCCAAAATGATTGGAGTTTGCATATCCTCAGTCAGATCAAGAACAACAAAATCAACAGGTATATAAAATTTACCTAATCTAACAGGAACATCCTCTAAAACACCTAAGGGGTATTTGAAAGAATGGTCGACCATTTGTAGAGTAATATTAGTAGCTTTTAATTTACCCATATTTAACTTGGAACACACAGATAATGGCATAACACTAACGCTAGCACCAAAATCACACAATGCATTATCAATCATTAGATTGCCAATATGACAAGGGATAAAAAACTACCTGGATCTTTTAATTTAGGTGGAGATTTATTTTGAAGTACGGCACTACACTCTGCAGTGAAAGCTACTGTCTCTACCTCACTAATAGACCTTTTTCTTGTCAATATTTCCTTCATAAATTTTGCATATGCAGGAATTTGTGTGATTAATTCAGTGAAGGGAACTGTTACCTTCAAGTCTTTTACAATCTCCAAAAACTAACCAAACTGCTTAACCAAACTTGTTTTCAAATGAAGATTGGGGAATGGAAGTTTGATAACTGGCTTTGGAGCATTATTGCTCTTATCTCGAGTGGCCACCTTCCATGGAGTCGTACCCTGCAATGTAGAATTAGATGTATTAAACTATGCTTTAGCCCTTTAGGGCTATTAGCTACATTGTCTGGTTTAACGAAATCAAGATTAGCAATGTTTATTAAAACAGGTTCATCATCTCTGGGCATAGGGGGCCCTTCATAGTTTGAACCACTTCTTAGAGTAATTGCATAGGCTTGATCTGTAGGCCTGGTCGGCTGTGCTGGCAGAGCTCCCTGTTGACGGGCTTGTAGAGTAGCGGAAAGTTGCGCAATTTGATTATCTATAATTTTATTGTGTGCTAGAATTGAATCAATTTAGGCATCTCTACTCTCCATGTGCTTCTGCATGTTTACCACCATTGCTCTAATTTTTACCAAAGAAGGGTCAGAAGATGAGGAGGGTTGTTTTGGTTGGTTCT